TTTAACAGAAAATATTCGAATAATACAATCACATTATCTCAAATTAATATTCGAATATATTAAAAGTACAAAAATGTTAACAAGGATAAGTTTTAAGCCTTAACATACAATACATAATATTTTTTTTACTATGTATATTATGTTTAGATCTTGTAAACTTTAATGGAAATTCTATTGTTTATATTTAATGATAAATCTTTGATTTGTTTGAAGTTCGAACTATCAGACGAATGTAAAAAAATCTTATCGTTTGAACGAAATATCTCGCAAAACAAGAAAGATTTTGTCTTATGTCAATATCATTATTTGAAAGAAAAAAACAATTAAGTTTTACCTATATGAGAAATATCTTTTCCTAGACGCAGTATATCATTTATTATCTTCATTGTTATCCATATGCCGCATCATAATTCATGTCTATCGTGACTGTAAACGTATGCACAAGATTCTCGCAGTGTTGTATAGCTGTAAATGCCACCACTGCCGCATCATGACCAGCATTGTGATGAGCTTACTACGTGTATCTAATTTTCTCTAAAATATCAATTCGATGAAATAGAAGAAAAGCGCACTCTTATTACGATCTCGATGGCGTTTCCTCGGTGCGTTATCTTACTATCTATCGTTCACCTCAGTTTGCGGCGATGAAACCTTATATGTTCGCGGAATGATGCAGCATCGAACAACGACAGCCAGATAGGTATAACAACCGAGCGAGTCGTTTGACAAGACCGTCCCTATCGATTTCTACCTGCATCCATTTGACTCACGCGCGCCTGCTCTCCTCTGTCCTATAACGCGCCAATTATTCTCGAGCGCTCGTGGGAAAGGTGTAATAATTCCGTAATAACTTCCGGAACATCGCCCGAGGAATAGTGAGAACGATAGCGAATGGCCGCATAACTGACAAACGAGATACCGCGCGAACAATTCCAATCATTTTTAGGGGCAATACGCGTCTCGCAATTTAGACTCGTTTTTTTTTTCTATTTCTGTACCAATATCGTATCTAGCAGTAAGATGTTTCGCTTAAATTTTTGTTGTTTGGTATGTGAATTGCACATTACACGTTCACCTAATTTTTTACTTTTTATATCGATTCCAGATTATTATTGCAATCTGTCAGGTTTCTTCAGCAGTATGAAGAAAACGGCATCTTATGTAGATGTAATAACAATGTGCTTCCATTTTAAGAGTAAAAAATCGTGTCAAAAAAATTCCACTAGAGTTGTTAAAATATTCCGATAAGAAATAGAAGTAATGGCTGGAACGATCAAGGCTAGATCTTTAATGCTTAAATAATTTAATCTGAATTACTATATATTTATGTATATATTATATATGTAGTTGCATATACTACATTTGTAGTCATTCAAATTGCACGCCGGTTTTCCGAACTTATAAACGCAATTAAACTACTGTAGTAATATCACGAATTAAATTGACAAGCAATTTTAATAATTTGATGCTCAATCAGGCATCCTATTAAAAAGATGTTAATATGCTAAAAACCTATAAATAAATTTCTTGCGAAAAATATTACCTCGGCCGAGAGTCGAACCCGAATCTCTTGTATTCCATACGAGGATCCTAAACCTTTTGACTACTGAGGCTTGTGAAATCTCTACTTTTCAGGGCAGTATTTTAGAAAACGTTCTTATTGATACTTTATGTGGAATTACACAAACATGAATGAAGATGCATTAAATCACAAAATTTGCTAAGTTCCACGGCGCGAATTAAAAATTGTACACAAATGCGGTTTACAGCGTTCGAAAGAATGAATCTTTATCTTTAAATTGTTTCTTTACGCTCTGATTTTTTTCATTGAGTTATTCAATATTGAAGCAAAAAAGTTTTTGCTTCAACGTTGAATAACTCAATGGTGAAGAAAAATCATACACAGTTTCATAAAAAAACAAATGAAAGGTAGAAATTCGCTCTTTCGAATGCAGTCAACCGATTTTGATGCTTTTTAAATAGTGATACGTTGTAACTATATGTTGTAACATTTTTTTATGCCAACTGTTTTACATATAGCTAATAATTAATATCCTATGCCATGTTACCCAACTATGACACGCACGTATAGTGGTAAATGAAGTTGAACGAGCAATAGGTTCATTAAATGGTTCATTAAACTCTATTTGATTGTATTGCTTCGTGTTTGCGTCGCATGTTAAATCGGCGCAACATTGCGGCCAAATGCCAGTTGTATTAAGTTATGAGGCTGTGCTAACAGCCACCCGTTGGAACAATAACAATGTCTTTTAACAGACTTTCCGATTATTCGTACATTCTTCGCGCGCGGAAATATTCCATTCTAGACATCGTCATCGACGTCATCGTTCTTCGTAAGAAAAACTTTGCATTAATACGCGCGCGAGCAAAATTATTATGTGAACAAAAAAAAAAGAAACAAACCTGATAACAATATTATACCAATCGGTAGAGAAATTCTTGCACGGCTGCTATGTAGGTACATTGTAAAGTCGCGATGGCGGGCGTAAGAAATCTTGAATGCGGTTGTAAAGATATCGGATTAAACAGCGCTTCAACTTGTAATCGCTACATTTATACCACGAATTACGTTCTTCTAAAGCGAGATTAAACCACGGAATTTTACGTTGCAAAGGTGCACATGCCGGGTTAAACTTTTCTAAATGGGTTTGGATTCTATTCTCGTAAAAAAATCTCGTTATGTCGCAGATATCAGCATGTTTTTTAATGGCATATCGACGCGACATTTCGAATACCAATCCATTTTGGAGATGGTATAACTTCAATTCCGAAAATCCGACTGTGATCAGCGTGTCGCGTTTTGGTTCATATTCACATCTCATTGAAATGCATGATGTTTCAAAACTGAATTTATAGAACTTTCCAAATAAGCAACTCGATTTAGATAGAAAGTCTAACGTATACAAAATATGTTAAACAAATACATTTAATATTAGGATAAGTGAGGAGATTATGCCACACTTAAGAGAAATTAGATTTTTGTATAATTATTTGTTTAGTTCAGAGTGCTTCTGTACTGTATACCTTCTTCTTCCATTTCCTTTCTTTATGTATTACTTGTATATGATAGCAAATAAATATTATATTTTCATTTTTACTATTAAGAATAAAGAAGTACAAGTGTAGTGTTGAAAAGTAAGTAAAATGCCACCATGTGGGTGATATGCCATCAAACATAGGATATCTGCCATATATTATCTAATATGCCAAAAAAGTGATAATTACAACACACATTACGTTATTTTACCTATTACAAAAACACAAAACGTTACGTCCAGTAAAACGAAGAAATCGTGGATCTCATGATTTCTTCATTTTACGAACGTTGTTTGAATGTTGATTGTAACAATTGATATGGCATCAACATCTTAAGCGTTGCTGTGAAAATTTTCATGAAGGTGATTCTGGCGCAAATGATCAAGCTTATAGAGGGGAAGCTCAGACCGGAACAGGAAGGCTTTAGAACTGGTAATCCTCCATCGACTAAATCAACACGTTCAGAAATAGTCTGTCGAAATGCTCTCTCCGTTCGTAGATATCTCCTGTTCGTCGATTACGAGAAGACATTCGATTCCATCAACCGCGAATGCATCTGAACCGAGTTGGGTAATATAGGCGTGCTCCCAAAAATCATCTTCCTTACATGAAAAATTAATAAGGGATTTCAATGTCGCGTTCTACACGAGGAAGGATTCTGTAAGAACCATTTGAGATCATTTCTGGCTGCCTGTTTTCCTCATTGTTGTTTCTGATCGTCATGGATGCGGTAACGAGGCATGTGACGGAAAACAAGTCGAGAGGAATCGTATGGAAACCCCTTAGATCAAATAAGCGACTGGAATCTGTGGATTATGCGGACGACAAATGCGAGCTGTCGCACAACATCAATGACATACAGCAAAAACTGGCAATCGTCTATCTCAAAATCAACGTCGCAAAGCCCAAGGGAATGAGCTGATTGATGCGAATCCAAATACAGACTCCAGCCGACCATTAAAGCTCAATGAACTGCCAATTGGGCGAATAGACGAGTTCCTGTACCTGGGAAGTATAGTTACGGAAGATGGCGATACTGATAAAGATGTGGAAATTAGGATCAAGAAAACGAATGCTTTTGTACTAAGCAAGATATAGGGCTCTACCACCTACAGTATCAAGACCAAGCTACACATCTTTTAATCGTACGTAATCTCTGCACTTTCATACACAGATGTGAGATCTGGCTCGTTACAGACGCAATCAAGCAAAGAATCCAGGTGTCAACTGCTGTCTTTAGGGGATCCTCCGTATCTTCTAGTCGAACATTATCAGCAATGAAACACTGTGAGCCTGCATCGAACAACGAGATATCAACGTGGAGAAAATTTGATTGGCTTGAACACTCATTAAGAAAGAACCAGAGCGAAATCTGTAATCGCGATCTTGTCTACAATTTGCAGAGAAAGCGGAGAAGAGGATGTTCCAAGAAAACTTGACGCCGCTTTATCTTGAAGAAGGTTCGTTGAGAATCCATGGCAGATGCATCAACGAGCTCTGGGACTTGAAGGAACTGGCCGACCGAGATATGGAGACAATAACTGATGAACTGCCTATGTCCAGTATAAAGGTAGCTCAGAATCGACGCCGAGCAAGGCGTTATATTGTATGTGTATGTATTATATATATATACATATATAATATGTATATATTTCATATATAGTTTTGTATAATTGTATATAATGTATATACTGCGTATATAATTATATACATATGAAAAATCTTCTACCGAGATATTGTAAATAATCGAATAAAATTTTTCAGTTTTAAAAAAATAACGTGTTAAAAAAGCTCTTTATGTGTATACAATGTGATAAATTTTACTTTATTGACACTTTCAGAATAGTAAATAAATAAATCGAATATTGTATTTATATTCCGCTTATTTGTACATAAAATTCGCATGCGTCAATCAATGAATTACGAATTTCAACAACCCTTACCGTGCCCTCTCCTAGATTGTGGACAACGCAAGGCATCAGAGCTGTGGATCCTGATTGCGCTGAAATCGATGTTGAATTTTCCGTACCGAAGGTCATCGGCAGGGTTGGTGGCAGATCGACATCTAATGGCTTTCCCGTCGTGCCGTCCAACGAGTTCATGTTAACATCAACTATTTCAGCCGTCACTGCTGTAGGATACTCTGAAACAAATTACCAATTGTATCATAATTTCGTAAGCACAAATTGCAAAGCTTTTATAATTTATATCAAGCAAATATTGTTACAGTATTAACGGCTCCAACGCCATATTTGACTAAAAAATGGTAAAAAAGATCTCAATTTAAACAATTTTTTTCGTTCTCAACATAAATTTCACCTCACAGACACGTATTAATGCATATGTTTTAATCCTGGAAAATGATTTTCACATTTATAAACG